GGCAGGAGGCGGGGCTATAGAGGAGGCATCGGCTTCTGCAGCTCTGCTCCCGCCTCGATTCCTCTAGCGCTGCCTTCATTGGCACCGCTGATTCTCTCCCGCGTCTCTTCAAGTTCCCCCTTATGTCACCACCGGCCCTGGGAAGGGTCACAACTAGGTCTTATTTTCGGGGTAGGTCTTATTTTGGGGGTAGGTCTTATTTTCAGGGAAACACAGAAGTAGGTGTGTGTTGAATTGTAGAGTATGGGCATAGTTGGGGATGTGTTTTTTGTACATTGTATATAGACATATTCCAGAGATGAAGGAATGGAATGCATTTTGTATCTTGGGGAGCTTGGAAAGGAAACTGTACTGACTTCAAAGACAGTCTCAATAGTGTGTGGATTTGCTTTTACATGAAATTTGTTGACCTTCTTTCTCCCACAGTCTTCTGACATTCAAGGCTTTGTCCCAGCTCTTCATATTGGGCTGTACCTGGATTATTGGAATCTTCCAGTTTGGATCGGGCGCCTTGGTCATGTCCTACATCTTCACCATCTGCAACAGTCTCCAGGGATTGTACATCTTCTGTGTGCACTGCCTGCTCAACCGCCAGGTCATGTCATACTTGATTATCACGTCTCATGATGCCTATGATACTCTTTTGTTGGATCTCAGTGAAATAGCCCTAACAGTATTCTATTTACATGTACAGGTATGGAAAGAATATATGATGGGATTCCATAGATTCCATTCCAAGAAGTCGGAGTCGGAAACCATGTCTAGCAATACAGCGCCCACCGCATTAAAATTGGTAGGTCACCACATCAAAGTTGGCAGGTCTCCACATTAAAGCTGGCGGGTCTCCACATTAAAGTTGGCGGGTCACCACATTAAAGTTGATAAGGTCTCCACATTAAAGTTGATAAGGTCACCACATTAAAGTTGATAAGGTCACCACATTAAAGTTGATAAGGTCACCACATTAAAGTTGATAAGGTCACCACATTAAAGTTGATAAGGTCACCACATTAAAGTTGGTAGGCTCTCATTTATAGTCATGCTTTTGGTGCTCTTTCCAAAAAGAGATGTTAGTGTACAAAATGCAACCCAAGGCATGGCATTTCTCAGGCTGGGTTTCCTGATTGGGGCCAACAGTGGACCATGCCTGTGTAACAAGTCTCTCGTGATCTCCATCAGAAGCCCGTATGACAGTTTGACAACTCAGTAGCACAATTGGGAGACAGAGACAAAGCATCGTCACCTTATAACAGGAAGTACCTGAACAAGGTTCTTCGTGGTAGGATCATCAGGGATTACTTTAATGAAAGCTGCAGAATAAAAATATTGAAAATGAGTTATGCAATTACATTAAGATGTTATAAATGAGTTCTTGGTGATTGGGTCTACACATAGGGGCTCGTGTAGTAAACTCGCAGTGTATAGCTGGGTGATTGCTGTTCACACAGCATTACTACCACTAGATGGAGCCTAGGAAAATCCTAACTCAGTGGCCCTTGGTCCCATCCCACAATCTCTGAAAATGGGGAGATGGGTGGTCTCAGTAATGGCAAGTTTTGGATACAAGGTCAAGTAAGACGTCATTCCACTCAGTACCATACATATAGAAGCCGCCGTACATCTGGTATAAAACCCACACATGTATCTCATCCGGATGGCAACGTACAATTCTTATGTTTTGTACAACAGGCGGGCCACACACAACAAGCCTTTCCACACCAGGAAAAGATTTATGAGAATCTCATGTGTCGTCAAGTGGGCCCCACATATCCCCTGAAATCAGAAGATGTACGAAGGCTCCCACAGCAGCACTGTTTGGCTCCCATCGCCTCAGCGCCAAAAATACCCCCAAAGATGGAGCCATGTTTGTTCCAGGCAAGGTATAAGAAAGGCCACATGTTATTTTTTGTCCAGATTGCCCTTTGCTGCCAGCTGTGTGTGTTGTTGATGCTTCAAAGGGTTTCATATGAAGACACACACTTCATTCTCAGCAACTTTGGAAATATATATTTATACTGATAATCTGGTAATAATCTGGTAATAATCTGGCCACTCAGTGTATATCTTACATCTCTTCCCTCTACTTGGCACTGTTGTGGCCCGGAAATAATATTTTAAAAGTATATCTCTAGCCAGATTTTTGTTTTTGATGAGGTTGCGTTTTT